CAGAAGGCTGGAGGACTAGAAACACTGTCTTTTGACAGGTTCTGCAATGTTGCTTTATTAAGCAGTGCAATTTATTAAGAACTCTAAAGAAAAGGCAAAGTAACTCTGCAGAGTAAAATATTCATTGAGTTCAATCTGTTTGGTAGACTAATGCATTTGGCCTGAGATGCACTGACTCCAAGTAGGACAAAGGAACTGCAGAAAATAAGACTGATTGCTTTCTCCTTCTCTGCTTTGCTCTTTCTAAAGCAAGGAAGCAAGGGCATGGTCTCCAAATTCTGATTTGTTTTGATGCAGACAAGCCTTGTAGGGATTTCTCTAGGTAGATGCTTATTAGTTTCTTGCTCAGGATAAAACGTTTGGAGGGAAGCACAAGCTTTTTCCAGCATCCAAAGCTTGGTAATGCAATGTACAGGGTAAGGTATGATAATTGTAGGCACCTACATGGCAGCTGCTTGAGCATCTACAAAGACAGACTGCAATGAGAAAGCAGAGAGCACCCAAGGCACGGCTTGTTTGCCCTGTACCATCAGCATGGCTGCTCTGCTCCCTGCCAGCTTTGCAGCTGTGCATATCTCAATCTTGGCTGTAAAATTTAAATGTCTTATACCAGGGCATATAATCTCAGAGCATGTGACAAGTGGCAGAGAACAGAATTCCTCTGTCACTGATGCCAAGCCCTAACTGTTGCATACCCATATGCAAATTGGGCCACATGTGATGTTGATGTCTCCCTTGCAGAAAAATTACTTCTGTAAGAAAAATGCCCCATCCCTGGAAATGTTCAAGGCCAGGATGGATGAGGCCCTGAGCAGTCTGGTCTGGTGGGTGGCAACCTTGCCCATGGTCAGGGAATTGGAACCAGATGATCTTCATCCCTTCCAACCCAAAGCATTCTGTAAAGAAAAGGTCTGGGCCTCAATGTATGAAATGTTAGGCTGAGGCTGGCTTTTGTCTTGCAGGTTTGCAGTTCCAAGTGCAGTTTGTAGGCAAGGAAGCAGGTGCCTGTGTCTGAACAATGCCTAAATGAGTATCTAGCTCCAGGTGACGTGACTCTAAACATCACTAGCAATTCCAAGATGGAGATTTTCAAGACAGGTGTCAAGATGAGGGGTATAGTGAAAAGTGGAAGAAAGTAGGGCTGAAACTGCAAAAAGTAATAGTGGGTGCTCGTGGAAGGGACTGTACCTTCAGCTTATGGTCAGAATACAGTTGCTCAGAGCAGGTGTTAATACATATATTTCTGGTGAGCAGACGTAATTTAAAAATTACAAGCCCCCATGATTGCTGTAGCCTGTGGTTGTGCATCATCCTTTAACAAAATACAGGCCAGGGTTGGTCTGGAGTCAACAAGTTTGAAGAGGGTGTGAAATAAGCTGCTCTTGAGCTGGAAGATTATGGTCAAGGCTGTCTACAGCCCACATGCAGCAGTATTGCACTCCCATCCATCTCTGAAGCATCCTTGACTGGATGCTTGAAGGAGAAGCATGTGCAAGTGAAGGTCTTGGCTGGGGCACTGTAACTTTTTAGTGGCCTTCACCCAGCCAGGAGCAGCTGCACTGTCAGACATGGCTGCTGTCCAGAAGCCCTGCTGTGAATTCATTGTGCTTTCTTGTTGCAGTGCCAGCTCATCTCTGATTGCACGTCTGCCCTCCTGCTTCCAGTGGTGAGAACAGGGTTCCTGCTCCTTTGTTTGTGTCATTCTCAGAAGGTTGCTGAACACGTAGGGAAGGTTAGAATGGGACAAACAGCCTTGTTTGAGAGATGTAGAAATTGAGGCATATTTATATTCTCCCCAAGGCCCAGCCTCTGAGGCAGTATCTGTGACTTGAGCTCCCTTGGTTGTGCACTTTGTCCCAGATCTATGCTCAGTGCATCTCTTGTGAGGCAGCAGAAGCACTCTGTCTGGGCTCGTGGGCTTGCTAAAAGTCAAACCAGTACAGATTGTTCTGTTTGCTTTTATTAGCAACTTGCTCTGGAACAGGAAAGGTGGTTAATGGGTTTTTAAAGTGACAATGGGAAAGGTGAATTTTCGTTGTGTTCAGTGCTTTAGTTCTGTGTCAGCAAGCAGCCCATATCTGCTTCCCTACAGGAGTATTTGTGAGGCAGTGGGCTTGGTTAGGAGGGGAGGGGTAAGCTGTTCTTGCTTTTCCAATTAATGAAGGCTGCCTTCTGGAAATGTTCATTATTCCTGGGTCTGTGTGCCTGCTGCTCTGACTACAGTCCCTGAGACTTCTCCCATGGGACCAGCACGAGCTTATCTCCCTCTATACATGAACAGCATGGGCAGAGACTGAGCCAGGGCACCTCTGCCTGCTGGCAAGGAACTCTAACACTGGTCAGAGGAGCTGGGTTTGCCATCTCAAAAATCCAAGTATGCTTCGTGCTGTGGAGGGCTGCAAAGGTGTTGTGTAGCTTCTGGTTGGGTTAGGCCAGTGCTGATTTCAGTGTTCACTTCCTTGTGCAGAAGTTGGGGCTGAGGTGGAGCTGAGACAGCTCACAGGTGTTTTGGATATTTGCATGAGAGTGCCTAGACTGGGGGGAGGGAGGACCACATTGTTTGGTGTGTGCTACAGAAGATATTGGACAATGTATTTCAAGCTAGAAAACCACTTCCTTACCAGCATGTGCCAGCACATGACTGGATGTTTGGGCACAGCCACTGCACTGACAGAGTGTGGCCTGCTGGCAAGAAACCACAGAAGTGGAGTGGGGGCAATGTGCCTGTGTGGACTGCTGGGAGGTTGGTTTCTGCCAAACCATACTTGAAGCAGAGCTAAGGGTTCTCTTCAGCTGCTTTTGGCCTTATTATAAAATATGTGCTGAACTGTGAAGCAAAATTTTGAGCTGGTTTTTGTTTTGGTTTTTTTTTTTTTTTTTTTTCAAAGCAATGATATTTTTTCCTCATTGGTTTAGTTGGTTGTTTGGTTTGGGTTTTTTATTGGCTGGGTTTTTTTCTTTTTCCTTTTTTCTTTTTTCTTTTTTTGTGGGAGGGGTGGTTATTTGCTGGGAGAGGTGGTTAAAGCTTTCTATTTTTGTGCCCTTGGCTAAATGAACAATTATTTACTCTAGAAAGGAGATCCTGCTTCTGCCCTTTCTCAGTATTTCAAAGATCTTAAAACAGACTAGCCAAAATCTGCAAGGGCCTGATTCTCTCCTGCCCCAGCAGAATTGTTTTGCTTTCACCAGGGAGCAGTTGTCCCCTTTTCTGCACCTCAATGTCTCCCTGACTTCCCTCTCTGCACTGCCCTCTCTTCCATCAGGTGACATTGACCTGTCACTTGCTGTGCTCCGAGTTCCTGGCAGGGAGAGGAGGCAGTGCCAGACAAACACACAAATGTCCTTGCAGTGGAAACTGCTGTGCATATATCTAATGTATCTCTCTCAGCTCAAGGTTTGCTGGAGAGATAAGATGCTTTGTGGTTTGTATGTGCTGTGGCCTCTCTCCTTGCAGCTCTCTTTGCCAGCCTTGCTTTCTTTCCATGGAAATGGCTGAGACAGAACTGGGCTGTCTGCTGCATCTCTGTAGTGCCTGAAAAACAAGGGCAGAACTGGCCAGAGTCTCTCAGCTGCAGAAGCTGCACAGAGTAGTTTTAAATTTGGGGGTGAGATGGAGCTCAAGAATTTGGATTTGAAGCCTCAAGCATTTGGGGCAGCTTGTAGGAGAGAGCAAACCACCTGGAAAAGTTGACCTGAGAATTATTATTATTTTTTTTAATCCTTTATGCATTGCCCATGAATTTGCCTCCACTGGAGCTGTCTGAGAGGTATGTCTGAAAGCTTGAACACTTGCCTTTGAACTGAAGAATACATTTCCCTCCTGGCTTATGGAAAATACTTGCATTCCTTAATGTCTTCGATGGTTTTTTCAGAAAGCCTAAGCACCTCTTTCCAACCCTTCCAACCTGAAAGCTTTGGGTGGAAAACTTTCATTTTGGGGCAAAAAGCCAAAACTTTTTGGTCATCTTCAGAACTATGAATCCAATGCTGTGTGTGTGTTTCTGTGTTGAGGCAGACATTTTTTATCTTATGCTGTGGTTTTTCCCCTGTACAAATTGCTTAGAGAGTCCAGTATAAACGTGGCTTTTTTTGCTTATACTGGCTACCAATATGTTATTGCATTAAAAAACTTGATTAAAGCAGACATCCTACCAAATGGTGAGCTGTAAATTTGGTGGAAGGAACCATTCATGCTCTTGAGGTGAGAGCTGTTCCCTAACTCCACAGAAACCAGGAACTGAAACTGTCTTTGCTGTTGTATTTTTGGCCCTCAAATTCATATTGGTTTACCCTGTAAAGGAGGGTAAACTAAACCAGTGACTGTTTCTGGGAATAAGTTAAGAGTTTTCTTCTGCAAGGTTTCAAAGCTTAGTAGTGTGGATTATCAGTTAGCATGAAATGAATTATAGTTATCTGCACCTTTATGGTACTTTTCAGCAGAGAGTTTAGCAAATGAGCAGCTAAGTGTGGCTGCTTCTCACCACCATCATGTGAATTAAGTGAATATTCACATTTTAGAGATGGGAGCCTGGTGTATTGGGTAAGGCAGTGATGTGGCTGGATGCCATCTTGTCAAGAGTAGAATTCATGTCTTCACTCCATTGCTGTAGGAACTGTGTCCCCCTCTCCTCAAGGCAGGAGACATTGGCTCTCCTGCCTCTCTGCTCTTCCAGCCCTCAACTTGCAACTCCTTGTATGATTAGGCATCACAAATAATATTTCTCCTGAAATTTGATTTCATTCTGGCTCCTAAAAGGGAAGTTTGTAAAGAGAAAAAAGTGACCATTGCTCTGAAATGGGCATGTGGAGGTGATGTTTCACATGTTCCTGTGCTTCCACCAATTCCCATGCCCTGCTGGGCTGGACTGCAGCAAGATCCAAGCACAATCCCTTTGTCCATCCTTCCTTCCTGCTTCCCCTCCCTCCTCCCTCCCTCCATCCCCAGGGAGGCTGTCCTACTGTTTTATTTTTTTTTCCTTCCCCCCATCCTCCCCAGCTGTATGTATAAATGCCTAATCAAGCTGTCCTTGCATCAGAGGACAGCCCAGGGGACAGGGAGCAGGATGGCTCACGGCATCCTGGGGCTCCTGAGGCCCCTGCAGAGCAGACTGAGCGCCAGCAGAACTCGCCTGGTTCTTCTCTGTGCTGTGACTGCGCAGCACCAGAGCCCAGCAAGGGGCTGGGCAGAGAGAGGCTTCAGCTCCACGCACCAGGATGCCCCTGGGGAGTCCAGGTGGGTCAAATGCTGCCTTGCTGCATCCACAGGCATGGAGGCACCTCTGCCTTGCCCTATGGCAGGTAGAGAAGAGAGGCCAGCCAAGCCGTGGCCTCTGGGAGGTGGAGGATGAAACCTCCAGCTTGGGGGAGCAGATGCTGATGGGGAGGAAGGTGGTGCCAGGACCCAGCCTGAGAGGAGCTGCTTCCCATCCCTGGAGCTATGGGGACCTGTCAGAGGTGCTGGTCCTGCCTCCAGAGCTGTGGGGGCCACAGACAGTGGCTGGGAACCATCTCATGAAGGTGAAAAAGAGTTCTTTGGCCCTTTTCCACAGCAGGAACTACTGCAGGTTCCCTGCCAGCCTTTCCTCTCTCTGCTTCAGGGATAGTTCAGGAAGAGAAGGTAAAATAAATGCAATTTGTGGATCTCATAGACTAGTATGATCTGGGTCAGACTGTAATCTGCTAGGCATTGAGAGAGAGATCCAACCATCACAGAAAATACAATAAACTACTTTGCTATCTGACCTTAGAGAAAAGTCATAGATAACCCCACTTGGTGGGATTTATGAAGACTCATTATCAATGGGATTTCTTTCTAATTGGTTTGTTGCTTATGAAATTATCTCTGGCAGTACTTGTAGGCATCTTGCTATGGCCTTGGAAAGTATCTTTTAGGGAAAACATTGACGGGGGAAAAACTGATTTCTTGAAACCTCCTTCACCACTTTGCTGTGTCACAAAAGGTTTGAGATTTTATTTTTTTAAAAGGAAATAATCAGTTGGCATACACTGAATTTACAGTGTTGAGTTTATCACATCCTGGTAAGATCTTTCCAAACCTCTGACCATTATCCAGCTAAAAAAATCAATTTGGTTTCACCACTAAGTGGCATTCTATCACTTTACCATTTCTATTTTGTAACAAATGATTTCACCCATAAAGATAAACCAAACATGGCCTAAAAACATGCCTATTTGCCATACAAATGGAATAAATTAGTCTGATCCATCAGAAATGAGGAGGATTCTTTTGTTTTGTTTTGACATTTGAGGAGTAGTCTTTAAATTGCATATTAAGAAATATCTGTAGGTTCTATATGAAGGAAACTGATGTATGTTGTCAACCTGATGAAAGAGAAGCTTCTGCCACTGGAGAATGCCCTGGGCTTTGGGATAATGGGCACTTGGGCAGTGCCACACTGAGAGTTACTGGACAAAAGGCCCAACCACTTCCAGGGTGCTGCCTTCTTTCAGCACAGGAGCTGGGACCTTTTGGTAACCTCCTATATCTAAGTGATAGATATATATATATATCTATATATAAGTGAGCATTTGGTATGGACACTAAGAAAAAAAACCTGTTTGCTCATGTACTTCCTCTAGCAAATATAACAGTCTCAAGATATACTTGTCTTGGTGAGCAATCCTGAATGCTGCTGTCAGGGTAGGATCCTTCTCCAGATTGGTGTGAGAGCCTGGTCAGGACAAGATGAACTAGATGCTGGTTCCCTCTCATTTGTAGATTCCCTTTCTGCAGTTATCATTAAGAGAAGCTGATGGCTATGTTCTTAACTCTTGGCCAGATTAAATCTTGCAGGCTGTCAAAATAATTAGCAATTTTTCTTGAGCATGGATCACATCAGCTCAGAGGAAGTTACTCAGCCCAGTAGCTCTGTAAAAGCCGGGGCTGGGCATGTCTCACCACAAGAAGGCCCCTGTGATGGAGTAAAGGAAAGGCGTGGGCTTTTCATGGAAGAAAAAGCAGCAGAAAAGGAACAATCATCAAGTAATCCCCTTGGGAAAGGGAAGGGGAAGCAAAACATGAATGACAACAGCCCTTCTTGCTGTATTAGTATCTGATCCTGAGCACTTTGCTTGTAATTGCATTGCTCTACCCAGGATTAACAGCCCAGACCTGGGATCTGCAAATGCTCTGCCTGCCTACCCATGCTCCCTCTGCCAGCCTGCCCAAGCAGGGGCAGCATGTGAAGAGCACCTGCACTTGTTTGTGCACAGATAGACATTTATTCTGTGGGCTATTTGATAAAATGGGAAATATTTTGGGGCAACTCAGATTTGGCTGCCACTGAGAACTGATAATATGAATTTTTTCTCATATGCGTGGCACAATCCTTTGAGAAAGTGTTTGTGTGCACATTTCCCTCTAAGTGCCATGTCTCTAGCACTCAGCCAAAAGACCTCAGTTGTGGATGTTCAGAAAAAGATGGGCTCCTCTGATTTTTGCAAATTTGTCTTACAGCTCTGAGGATCAGGTGACAGTGCATTTTATAAATCGGGATGGAGAGCGACTAACGACCACAGCCAAAGAAGGGGAGACTTTGCTGGAAGTGGTAGTCAATCACAACTTGGCCATTGATGGATTTGGTAGGTGCTGCAGCAGGATATGTGCATGGGCTGTTAGGGCCAGTGGGTACTTAGGAAGAGTGCAACAATATGCCACTGTGCTCTGCCAAGACCATGAACAAGCTTCCCTTCCCCACCAGCTGCTTGCTGGGTGGCTCACCATGCTGAAATGGCAATGTAACCTCACACTGTCACACTGCCATTCCAGCAGCCTCTGTCAGTGCTTTTGGCTGCATGGAGCTGATGTAAAAATTTGAAAACTGATGGTGATTCTCCCAGACAAGAGGCAGGCTTGAAACTGCATCCATCTGTTGTGTTTCCTAGCATCTCTTTTGACATGCTCCAGATCTGTTAAACGGCCTTTTCTCACACTATTCCTAAAGATGGTCTCTCTCACCCCCTTATTTTTCCTGATTTGCTGTCCTTTCCTTGCTTCTCCACCAGGTGCCTGTGAAGGGACATTAGCCTGCTCTACCTGTCACCTCATCTTTGACAAGGACACCTTCCAAAAGCTTGATGCCATCTCAGATGAAGAGCTAGACATGCTGGACTTGGCATATGGGCTCACTGACACGTAAGCCTCCCTGCTGATCGCAGCAGATCCTCAAGCCTCCGAGGCAGATTCTCACCATGTGGCACCTCTTTCCAAGAGGATGGGGCTTGTTCTGTATTACAGCTGTGCCTTGAGAGCTGCTTTCTCTTGAGGGACAGCAGATCTCTAACAGGAGCTTTAGTGAAAAGCCATCCTGAACCAGACATCCCAGTGTGGGTGGGGGATTTCTGCCTTTACCTGGGGAACAGAGGAGCCTCACTTCATGTTTTCTTCTCAGATCACGCCTTGGCTGCCAGGTGTGTGTTAAGAAGTCGATGGATGGTGTGACAGTGAGGGTCCCCATGGATGTGTCGGACATGAGGAGGCAGCTGGAGGTTGGAAAGCAAAGCAAACAGTGACTGGAAACGACTGCTGCACAGCTTACACCCTCATTTAGGTGTGGCAGGGTACTTAGCTCTTGGTTGATGCTATTGCTTTTTGTGGCTGGCTCGCAGTAGGCCATAAAGGTCTGATTTAGTATAAAAGGCGTGTTTGGCAAATCTCTTATTTGAACAAGGCAGCATGCTTAATAGGGTCTTTGGTATGTGTTTTAAGTGCTTAAATGCTTTGCTGAACCAACTGGATTAAAGTGTAAGGCTTTATATTTCCCTGGGTGGGTGTCAGTAAATATCTCTGCTGTATGTGACTTGCTTTCTCCTTTGAAATTTAAGAATTCTGCTATTCTGAGTAACTGCTGAGAATTTTGCAAGGCTTGGCTCTTTAAAAGTGGAGCAGACTTTTCCAGTTTGGGAAGCTTAAGAAGAGATTGCTGTTTGCAAGTCAGTGTACTGATGGGCTTGGTGATGTAGGTGACTTGAGTTTGGTCAGCAAGAATATACTGAGGACATTTGTGTACGGACAGTTCCTGTAAGCAGGAACCACTTCTATGAACTTGAGATGTTTCGGGTCCCTGAATTGTTCTGTGCTGTGAGCAGCCACTTTCTCCAAATGTTAAATCTTCTCATTGCTGTACTACCCCACCTGTCAAATAAAATTCTAACAATGAGCCTTTTAGACCAACAAGATGCACTGTTCTGGTACCATGAGCCTGGCTGGAACAGAAGGAGATGGATGAAATTTGGTTGTCTGTATTAAATGCAGCACTGCCAGCTGATCAAAGGAGGTGATTGTCCTGCTGTACTCAGCACTGGTGGGGCCTCACCTGGGATACTCCAGGTAGTAAATGTAAAAAAGACTATTCTGTTCGAGAGGGTCCAGAGTAGGACCATGAGAATGATGAAAAGTCTGGAGGGGAAGCTTTATGAGGAGTGGTAGAGGTGACTTGGTTTGTTCAACCTGGACAAGAGGAGACCAAGGTGAGACTTCATTGTGTTCTTCAACATCTTCACAACGAGAAGCAGAGGGGCAGGTACCAAGCTCTTCAGTCTCATGACCAGTGACAGGACTCGAGAAAATAGCACAAAGCTGAGTCAGGGGAAGTTTAGGTTGGATCTCAGGAAAAGGTTCTTCACCCAGAGGGTGGCTGGGCCCTGGAACAGACTCCCCAGGGCAGCAGCACGCAGCCTGAGCTAAGAATTGTTTGGACAATACTCCTCGGCACATTATGGCATTCTTGGCACGTCCTGCACAGGGCCTGGAGTCGGACTCGATGATCCTGAAGGGTCCCTTGAACTCAGGATATTCTGCGGTTCTGTGATTTACGGAATGTCAGCGCGACCGTGGGGCCTAGGCCGCGGGGCTGCTGTGGCGGCGCTCTGCCGCCAGGGGCCGCGCGCGGGGCGGCGGCGGCTGCGAGGAGAACGAGGATGAGGAGGGGGAGGCCGCGGTGGCGGCGGGGCCGCTGGGCTGTGCCCGTCCCTCCTCCTTCTTCTCGCCCTGAGCGGTGCCTGGGCCTGTCTCGGGGAGCCACAGCTGCCATTTGTGTCTAATGGTCTCTGTGCACATCCATGCCTTCCTACTGCGGACCCCAGCCCTGCCGCGCCCGGCATGGCCTGCTGTCCCTGTGGGCACAGGTGATGAGTGATCTGTGACTCCTCTCAATGGGCTTTGTGTTCGTCTCGGATCCTTCATGGAAAAATCGGTACAAATGTTTATCCCTGCCAGAAATTTATCCTTAGCAGAAGGGTACCTGCAGGAAGGATTTCTGGCATGGGCCAGAACCACGTGCTGTAAGAGGTGATGGCAACAGGGTGGGTTTTTGCAGGGTGCCAGCCCTGTTTGGGGACCATGGATGTGGTGATGTACTAAGGCTTCAGGCTTGTGACTGGCATGTGGCAGGATAGCCCTTTGCTTTGTCATACATCAGAAAAATCTTCCAGGCCATGCCTGTTTCTCCCAAACATCTTCTCCTCCAACTTGTCCCAGGTTTACTGTAAAAAAAAAAGAAAGAGAACAAATATGGATTAAATGAAAGCAGCTAAGCCATCACCTTCAGTAGCACTTCAAGTCTCTTGCAAAGCCAAGGTGATCTGGAGCTTTGCAGTCCCACTCCTCGGTCCCCACCTTGTTGTAGGCTGGAAGCTGGAGCCCAGGCTGCTGCTGGAAAAGGTCAGCTCTCTGCACACATCCTGGCAGGACAGCAAGAGAGGGAGCAGCTTCTGGGTTGGAAGGGTTGAAAGACTGCTGTGTTCCTCTTCAGAGTGTGGGTGACCTCTGAAGAAAGAGTTTCTAGGACAAGCTGTTAGCATGGAAATGCAGGGAGTCAGAGTAGCCTGTGCTGCTCTGGTGGGGCTGTCTGTCCCTCGAAGGTGTCCTGGTATAACAGAGAGGCCCCTGCACAAAGGAGCTGCTACAAAGGATGAGGGAGAGTATGTCTTGGAAGACTGGCTTTCCTGACAGTTGAAACATCAGAAATAGAACTGGAAAGTTTAAAGTAAACTACAGCTGCCTCAGGCACTTCTGTCACGTTTCTGTCAGCCTGCAGGATAAGGAAAGAAATCATATATCCTGAACAGAAATAAGATGAGGCTGCATGAGTCATTTCTCTTCCAGGCAGATGAGCTGGACTTGTTTGGCCTTGATCTAAATTGGGAGCGGGCCCTGAAGGCTCCTCGCTTCCTGGGTGGTGACCATGGAACACGACTTCCCAAGAGCTGCATCTGGTGGGGCAGTGGGCAGGGCTTTCAGTGTGTGACAGGCCAGCGTGGTCTAAATGATCTAAAAAAGGGCAGAGAAAGAAGGGAAAAGGGCCCTGTTTGCATCTCAGGGCCATACATTAAGGGAAAGTGTGGCCTTTCTGGAGCAGAAATCCAACTATCTGTGCATTTGTTATTGTTACGAGCAAGCTGGGGGCTGTGGAACATTTTCAAGATTGGTTTCTGGCTCATAGAAATGAAGGACTGTGAATTTCCAAGCCCAGAACTCTGGTTTGTGTTAAGTTTTGCAGGATTTTGTTTTGTTTAAAATAAAGAAAAATGTTATAATACAGAGCTAGGTTAGAGCAGCTACCCAGAGAACTGTGCCCACATTAGGGAGCCTAAGATGAGGCAAGGAAAATTGTGTGTTTTTCCCTGTTTAACCCAGTGTTTCTCTAAACTAATCTCTTCCTAAGTTTCCTGTGATCTTTTTAGGTGATGCAAATTATGAGCTCTTACTCTGCATTTGGTTCAGGTCCCCTCTGTTTGACCTGAGCCCAGCTGCTGAGTTTACATCTGTTAGTATGTTTAGAATACAGAATCATCTCTCTTCCAAGAATAGGCAGACTTTTCTTATAATATTTACTGCTCTTTCACCTTCTTGAAAAGACAGGAGGAATGCCTAGACTGCTGTGCTGGCAGAAGATTTCTTGCCAGCGTGGCCAGCCTGGCAGAGCCGGGCTGGGAGGTGAGTGTGTTTGACAGCAGTTCAGTGCAAATGCCACCACCCTGACACAGGGGAGAGGGGAGCAAGAGCAAGGGAACAAAAGGTGACAACACCACAGTGACAACTTATGTGTCTTTTATTAAAACAGTTACAACTTTAGCTCTGGAAAAAAAGACTGTGGATGCTTTATTGCTGTTCACGTGTGAGGAAAATTATGTTGGTGGTGGAGTTGTGTTATGATTATATACACCTTTCATTATACAAGGGCCACAAAGGTGATCTGGGACAGAGTGCCACATTTGAGAGGTAAACACCCTTCATCTAACAAAACAGACTGTATACACCTTGGAAAGTGGGCTCTGGGCTTCCCCCTGGTTCCCTTGCCCTAGTATTTGATGATGTGAATTTGGAGTGCTGGGCAGGTTCCTGTCACTGACCGTCACAGGCACCTGGCAGATGAGTGGAGGGATCTGACACCAGATAATTTTACAGAGGTGGCTTTCCCCTCTATGCAAGGACTGAACCATGGCAGCTGTCATGCAGCTCCAGCTCTGGCTATTTGCAGACACTCAGCAGCTTGCAGGGATACTTACTCCACAAGCAGGACTTTTCAGTCATTAGGATTCATGTATTTCTCTTTTCCTTCACCCATTCACTGTTCACTGAGTAAAAGGATTGTCTCTCTGACAGATACCACCATAGAAAACTCTCATGTAACTTTCAAATGAACCATCCCAAACCTTTCAACCTTTGAGACCTTTCCCATTGTTTCCTTAAAACGACCTGTCAAACTAATGTGGTGCTCTCAGCATCTGTTTAGAGTTCAGCTGGCAGTGTCACAACCCTCTAACAAGTCCCATTAAGTCTGTGGCACTTCTGAGCATGGCTTTGAGGGATGCTTCAGGACTCCACTGGTTACATCTCTTTGGTGGTCTTTACCAGCAGCCTGCTTAGCACATCCCTGCCTGGAATTCTCCAGACTTAATTCTGCTGGAGTGCACAGGGCCACATTCTCTGCTGAGGGGGAACTCAGTGTTTCGTTTCTTTGAGCCAGCGTCGGTGATGAAGCCTGGACAGTTTCAGTGCATGGACTGACAACTTTCTGGCAAGATGTGACTTTGCTTCAGCATCTACTCAACAACATTCCTGACAACTTCCACAATTCCTTGACCTCGTGCTAAAACCAAGCCCTGCTCAAGTCTGCTTCTAGAAAGGGGCATCAGCATTGACAGAAGATTGTCAACTTTCGCTAGGACTGAAACTCCTAGCTACTGAGCTACTCCCAGAGGACACAGAAGAACATTCACAGCCCTGTCAAAGTGAGAGTGCTAAAATCCTTTATGGCAACTGTGTCTCTGTCAAATGCTAACTTTGGGGAAGGTATGAGAAGAAAGAATCACTGTGTAATTAATTCCAGAAAAAAGCAATCTTGGGCTTAAAATGTTACACATGCTGTCTGTCATTGAATGCTGGACTTTGAACTCTGGGCTCCAGCTGCTGATTTTGGAACCCAGCCTCAACCAATAATGGTTGAGGGCTGTGAGCTAGACCAGAGCAGACAACAGATGAGCAGAGTGAAGCAGCGGTGATTTCTGGAATGAAGGTGAAGAATTTTCCTTTGGATGATTGGTTGTGATGAACTGTGAATAACGGTGGGTTTTGTGCAAGTGTAAAGATTTTTAACTAATTATTAAAAGCATTAGCTGTCCCTGTTGTCCAGTCATCCACTGACATCAGCAGCTGACTGGAGAAAATAAAGCAACGTTTCTCTTTTCCTGCTATTAAAAAAAATGCAGTCAGGCCCTGTACAGGTCAGCTAATTCAAGGACAGGGAGAGTCTGGTGGTATTCACTCCATTCCACACCAAGCCAGTGAAGTCTCTTTCATCAGAAAAGGGCATAAAGAAAACACAAGAGCAGCCCCCCCACCTCCCACCAAAATGAGTATTACATACACATTAGTGTCACTTTACACTTGTTGCCCCAGGCAGCCTGCTAAATTCTTCACACCCTGATCATATATTACAGAACATTTTCTGTTGCACATACACAAAAAAATATTTAGTTCCTCCACAACCATTGCCTCAGACAAAAGTCTCTTCTGCAAACACCGCTGTGTCACGCTCCTCTGCGGCCACCTCTGCCAGAGGCTGGCTCCTGAGCCACTCCACCCTGCTCCGGAGCAGTTCCTTCTCCACTGCTTCCACCTCTGCCATGGGACAGGGCTCAGTTTCATCCTGCTTGA